GCCTGTTCTGCTCTCCACTCTGTCTCTGGTGAAGCCTCTCGCCGCCCCTGAGCCTCTGGCCTGTATCCCAGTTCTGTATGAACAAATAAATAAATCTTTAAAAAACAAAAATGAACTATCATACCATGAAATGACATGGAGGAAGGACAAGTGAATATTGCTAAGTGAAACTGGCCAGTCTGAAAAGACAACATTTACTGTATGATATCCACTGTGTAATATTCTGGAAAAGGGAAAAACATATTCCCGAAAATATGGAAACTCAGTGGTTGCTGGGGCTGAAGGAGAGGAGAAGAGAAATGAATAGGTGAGATATAAGCGGGATTTAAGGCAGTGAGTGAAACGCTTCTGTATTTTACTATAATGATGGATATGTGTCATTATACATTTATCAAAACCCATAAAATGTACCACACAGAATGAGCTCTAGTATACTGTGGACTTTACAGTAAGGCACCAATCATCAAATGTAAAAAAATGCACAAGATTTGATAATAGGGGAAACTGGGGCATGAGGGAGGGAGGGAAGAAGAACTGTATGAAAACTACATTCATTGCTCATTGTTTCAGTAAACCTAAAGTTGCTCTTTAAAAAATTTATTAAGAAGGAAACAAATATTGGGTATGGCTGAACTAGTAAAAATAGCTTCTTGTAAAACAAAAAGCAGCCAGCAGTTTATCCTCTTTGGAGAACATAGTACCTGGCCACAGAATATTCTGTCAGAAATGTACATTCCACAAAGGCAGTGCATTCCTGTATGGATCTCTTAATTTTCTTGTGTTGTGCCTTATGGCCTTATCTGATATATATGTACAGTGGTGTTCTGCTCTTAAGCTGCCCTTGTTCCCTCTCTCCAGTAACCACTGGCGTATCACCCTTGGAGGTTTACACACCAAAGGAAATCTTCGTGGCAAATGGGACACAAGGGAAGCTGACATGCAAGTTCAAGTCCACTAACATGACTGGCATGTTGACCTCAGTCTCCTGGAGCTTCCAGCCGGAGGGGGCCGGCACCACTGTGTCGGTATGAACGCTTGCCTGCTCTGACTGTCCACTCACAGGGTTCTTTACTAAGTACTATAACCAATGAGCCATGCTTCTGACTATGCACTTTCCAGTCAGGGGTGTGCCATCTCTGTGGCACCCAGCCCTCCTCTTACCCAGATTCTCTAAGAAAACATAAGTTCTACTCTTTCACACACAGCCTGTCTCCTTGTCTTTGCCTAACTCGCTCCCCCTGTCATCTACCTGGTTCCTCTCCACCATCAACTCCATTTTGAGTTATCTTTTCCACAGAGCTGGGGATTCCTCTATCTGTTTTCAGCTTGTATTTGCCCATTTTTATTTGTATTTATTCTAAGTATTTCTATGTTTATATATATGTACATATACATACATATACATATATGTGTGTTTAATATATATATATATACATATATATTAAAGTTTCTTTCTGATTTAATTATAATTTCCTATTCCTGATTCAGCAATTCTCACTGGGAAATTTGTGTGCCGTGGGCATTGTAGGGGCTTCAAAAATGTGCGCAACACAGTCTCTGCTCCCACTCAGGGAGTAATTAAGCAAAAGACTGGGGTGCTGATGACTTCTGAGTAAGGTCAGGAAGGAATGGAAATACACCAGAGGCTTGGGAGAAGGGTTAGTTAACAACTAGAGGAGTACTATCTGTGCATTAGCTTCTGATTAAGCACTCAGGATGGTGCTTAACCCCCTGTAGTGCTAATAGTTGACCACTGAACAATGTGAAAGTTAAGGCACAGACCTTCTTCCCTCAAGAGCTCAAGACTCCACATAGAACTCTTGACTCCCTCAAACTTACCTACTAATAGCCTGTTGTTGACCAGAAACCTTACTGATAATATAAACAGTCAGTGAGCAGATTGTTGTATTACTATTTAGTCTTCATTAAATGGAAGTAATCACTAATCATCAGTTAGTGGAAGTGGATCATTATGAAGGTCCTCACCTGCACCTTTATGTCTTGTAGTGGGAGGAAGAAGGGGAGATGCAGCAGGAGGAGGAGAGGCAGAAATGAAGTGTTGGTCATTCTTTTTTCAGGGGTGGCAGAGTGGAAGTGGAAAGAGCAGAGGCAGGTCACTGGACAGACACATAAAAGTTCATCATAATTTCTATGTGTTTTTTTGTTTGTTTTTGCCTTTTCATTATTCTAAGAATGTGTCTATATGATACCTTCCTCCATTTTCTTTGTTTCCTTGCCTGTTTCCCAGAGACATCATGTCTTAACAGAGGGAAACAAGGCCTGGTTTCTGGCACTGTTCCTTCTCTGTCTTCTTCCTCTTCTCTGGCACTAGCTGGGAAGCTCTCACCTCCATTAGTTCCTTTGGACGGTGTCCATCTGTATTAAGTGCACTTCAACTCCATGTCATTTAACTGTGTATGTACAATTTATTCTTCATTAAATATTCTATTACTCGGTTACTGTTGTCCTGGCTACATGCTGACTGTCAACACTGCACCTGCTTCGGTGTGTTGTGTATTTCAAGTTGTCAGTGGTTGGCGGGGACAGCCTGCCACTTTTCTCTAAGGGAAATTCTTATTTCAGTGATAAGACACTTGTGTTGATCATTGCCTAGATGCTCAGCCCCTCATTTGCCAGAGTCAAAAATCTCCAAACCTTTTCCTACTTCCTTCCACTTTGGGGATGGGGTGGGGAGGAACTGACTCATTATTTCTGAGGTCATACCACTAAGGCTTGAATTGTCTAAACCCTGTTTTGTCATTCTCTGCTTTTAGATTTTTCATAATTGCTGTTACCCCTCTATAAAACTTTGATAATACAGACACGCTGTGTGTGTGTGTCTGTGTGTCTGTGTCTGTGTCTGTGTGTGTGAGAGAGAGAGAACACATCTATCTGTCCTAGGAGCCACTCTACCTTCTTGTAGGAGAGATCACCCCTGTTGAGATTACATCATCTAGGGTTTCTTTAAGAAATTCTCTTATAGAAGCTATAAGGGAATTATCTGCCTCATAATTGCTGTCCCGTGAAAGTTTTGAAAGCATCTTGTTTTGTTTTACTGTAGCCCTTTGTGTTAAGGATTTACCCAGAATGCCTTTCCTGAAAGAACAGAGTGATTACCTACGATTGCCTATATATCTTAGTTCCTGAAGGTCTCCTTTGGGAAAACTTAAGAGTTTTATCCAGGTGATATTAGCCCCTGGAAGAAAAACATCTTTATGTTTGAACTTAGTGACTACATTTTCAAATGTGACATTAGAACTATTTTCTGTTGAAATAAGTCTTTAGGAGAAAAGCTTTATTGCCCTGGACTGGACCATATAACTGATAACCAAATTCTTTATTGGATGGATAGAAATGGAGGACAGCTGGGTGGGGTGCCCAAGAGGAAGGTAAAGTCGGGGATTACACATATTACTTCCTCAGTGGGGTCAATTAGATGCAGTTCTGTGCAGGACCAGATGCAGGAAATGAGTGAGAGCAAGAAACCTCACACTCACGTCAGGGGGAAGTGAGTCAAGGCACCCTATTGAGTATGCAGCCTGTAGCAACCACAGCGAGCTCAGGTAGCTTTACTCAGGAGAGTCCAAAGTACTATTTAAACATGTGAAGACTTCCCACAGATGTCATTTGTTAGGGCCATTGTGAGGGTCATTGCTTAGTTTCTAGAAAATACACTATCTTAGGTCGGTATCCAGAGGTAACAACTTGTTACCTTGCTAGTGGTTTATGTTCAAAGCATATTTGCTAAGTCAGTCAAGAAAGGTGCACATACATTGAGATTTAATCTTAAGAGCATACTGCTATTTCTGGCTGTTTTGGGTTAATCAGACATCTTCATTATGACCTTGGGCAAATGGCTTCTTTTCTTTTCCTCACTTATAAAAATATGGGTGGGAATTCCTACATCCTTGGGATATGGAAAAGACTAGGCATGATATACAAATTTATTTCTTTAACTAAAATAGGGTGGAACAGCATGATTTTCAAACCTCTGTCCAGCTTAGATTCCATAGCTTCATATTTGTAATATGAAGTTGTCTTTCTTTTTGCAAAAAGTCTTTGAAAGGCCCTTTTAGAATTTTTGCTATAGTGTTCATAATTTTACCTTCAGAAATAAATATCTCGTGCTTTTTTTTTTTGTTTTTTAATTGTAGTTTTTCCACTACTTTCAAGGCCAGGTGTATCTTGGGAATTATCCACCATTTGAGGGCAGAATCACCTGGGCTGGAGACCTCGACAAGAAAGATGCATCAATCAACATAGAAAATATTCAATTTATACACAATGGCACTTATATCTGTGATGTCAAAAACCCTCCTGACATTGTTGTCCAGCCAGGACACATTAGACTCTATGTCGTAGAGAAAGGTACTTGCTCAAGTATTTATGCAGGAAATGACACAATCCCCTTTACCTTGTGCTGACTTGGAGAGCGAGTGTTACATTTCTGGGTGTGATTCGGAGGGATTTTCCCCCTCTCTTTCCATGCGACTGTGTTTTCACCAACGACTTATTCCAACCAGAGCAGCTACTTCCTCCATTTCTGTGCCTGGGGCTCTGGGTTCTACTGAACCAGTTTCCAGAGTATTAATTTTTCTGAATTAATAAGGAGTAAGACCAAAGTCATTGTGGTTGGGGAGTGGGGTTGTGAAGGAAGAGAAGGACATGAATACTGTTTCCATATTCTCCCAGAGAAATTTTTGATATTTTTAAAAAACAGTACAGCTATTTCCCATCCCTCCACCCTCACCCCCCCTTTTTTTTTGGAGAATGAGCATTAAGTGCAGGTTCTAGTGTTTCATTTTGAGACAAAAATCTGCTTTGTTGGAGAGTAAATTGAGATAAAGTCACATCTCCAGTTTTTCTTTGATTTCAGAGCATTGAGAGAGTCCATGTTTAGACAGCATACTTATTTCTGGAGTTTATTCTTTATCAGCTAATACTTACTTGTATGTCATCCATTCGATATCAGAATCTCATTTGGATAATGGAAAAGAGAGTGGTAGTAGCTGCTAAAGGAAGACACTTACTTATTAATTTAAACAAGTTCCATTACCTCCATTACAAGTGCCCTAAACGTGCTTTCTTCTTCTCTAGAGAGCTTGTCAGTGTTCCCCGTGTGGGTCGTGGTAGGCATCGTCACAGCTGTGGTCCTGGGTCTCACTCTGCTCATCGGCATGATTCTGGCTGTGCTCTACAGAAGGAGGAACTATAAGCGGGATTACACTGGGTAAGAACCTTGCTTTCTGTGGGAGGGAGGAAACTGGTTTATGCGCTTTTTGGAATAAGAGTTGTGAAAAAATAACTACAATTTGCTTTCAGCTCAGAATCAGGCAGTCTCCTTAGAAGGGTTGTGGACAAGCAGAAGTCAGTGGGCTGCTATTAAATGTGGGAGCTGAGACTAACCTATTTCTTTCTCAGGTTTGCTGACATGAATATCTCAGTACTCTGCACTGTGCACTTCAGTCCTGTCCACACTACAGTTATATCAGGCCACGACTGGCCTCCCCCAACCTGAGTTTAATTTGAATCTGTCCGTAATAATCTCATAAGGTTCTTCTTAAGTAACTGTTAAACTCTAATCAGAAAGAGTCATGCAAATAAACTACCCCCACCCCCGTGTTGATGCACGGCTTCCCCATTTTGCAGTTTCGTAAGCAGTGTTAGTGCTTTGCTCATGCTTGAGTGTATAACTGGACTCATCCAAACTGGGATAACAAGGGTTGAACACCAAATCCACTGGCAATAAGGAAGAATAGCGTTTCTTTTAGTTTATGGCTTCTCAAAGAGAACACCTCTGAGCACATGGTGTGGTATCTAACTGAAGAACCTTTTCTTTTCCCACTCCAGCTGGAAAGTTAACCCAATAACCTATGTAGAACTCATATGGTAAGACTGAGTGAAAGTTGGATTCACGCTGACATGGCATGAGCTGTGTCCAGGCTGTCCAGGCGATCGTGCTAACCTTGACTTCTCAAAGGGACTGTGGTCTGAGGATTGCACGTCCTGACTCCCTGCTGGCGGATGGCGGGAAGCTCTCTCTTCTGGGCTCTGCAGCTCTAGTCTTTAGGGCTGCTGTGTTTAATGACTCTGAGTATTACTTGGAATGCTGTTCTGCTGACTGTGTCTACCCCCTTGCATGGTGAGTGTATATGGTTAAATATAGCAGCAGTGTTGATTTTCAGCGTGAAACTAATCCAGGGAAGTGACATGCCAGTTTCTATAGTTCTGCTTTTGGGTTAATGAAGGGGCAGAAATATGTGCCTTAGAATCCTGCATGGCATCATGAATGCTGCTATTCTTCTTACTTTGTTTTTTTTTTTTTCCCCCCTTTTCCCCGCCTTTCTGCCTTGGTGTGCCAGGATCAGATCCTGTTTACCTTCCACTTCTTAAGAAAAGCTGACTTAGAGGACACTTTGGGAATAACAGGGCTGGGTCTCCTCTTCCACTCCCACTAGACACATGGTAACTAATCACATTGCAGTTCCTGTTAATATTCATGTGTGTGCATTCAACCCATCTCTCTTGTTGACAACTAACTAGCTGGCTCTGAACTAACCCAATAGTCATTATAACTTGTCTACAAATATGTTTTCTGTTTGTTTTGAAACCATGTTAAGCTTACCAGCCCAGTAAAATTGGGTTGTCAGGTCACAAAGAGATTTTGTGGTCATTTGAATATGTATAGTTCCTCATGTGCAATGCTTGTGTGTATGTTTGTTTTAGTTTCCTTTTTTCATTCATGAATCATATTATTGATGAATAAGACCCCCTTTTGTTAGAATACTCAAAGCATTTTGGGTTAGGGCTTATAACTACCCACTAGAGTGAAAAAAAAGTTTGTAAAATGTATAGGATGCTTTGATTAGTAACAAACTTTACATGGGAACTACATAAGATGTCATAGAGGATTTAAGCCCTGCTGGTGTAGTAGAGAGTCCCTTATGAGTTCTTTCCTGACATTTACATGCTCTGATTTATTTAGATCGAGCTTCTTAGTAAAGCATGTCCCTGAGAAAGCTCAATATGGCATCCTGTGTCTTTCCTTAGTTTTGTATCATCCATGGATGGCTTCCTGGATTTTCCTTGGACTAGTTGTGAGTTGTGAGGGAAGAAAACATGGGGAATTAGGGAATGAAAGGGACAAGATAAGACAATAAGCCTTGGTGCATATCTTTTATCTTTCAAATATATTCAGAAGAGGTTTGCCTTTCTTAATTAGAAAACCAAATTGTCGTTGAGAAGGTTAAATTTACTCCTTTAAACTTTTATACCAAAGAAGGGCTGCTGGCAGGGTTTGAGAAAGACAGAAAATAGAGAAAGGATACATGTATGTTATAGGCAGGACCCATTCAGCAAATATCACTGCGTGAGCTGGTTTGCACCATGCTGGTGTCTGTGAACACCCCATTCCATTCCCCCATTACTAGATTCTTTGACTTGTCAGGAGTAAACAAGCTTTCCAAGATGTGTGATCATTTTGATACTTGTCTGTTTTGTTGTGTTCTGTTTTATACATTTACTGCTTCATCTTGCCATCACTTGCCTTTCTATATTTTTATTTCCATTTATTTTAATTTTTTACTTTACATTTGTCCTCCATATTGTCATCTCATCAACTGCAGTACATCAGAGAGTCTGTCACCGGTTAAACAGGCTCCACGGAAGTCCCCCTCCGACACAGAGGGTCTGGTAAAGAGTCTGCCTTCTGGATCTCATCAGGTAACCATTGATTGCAGCTCTGCCCTGGGCTAGAGCTGGTGTTCTGTCACTTCCTTGGCTCTGTCACTTTTCTGGGTGGACGAAAGAATACAGCTGGGGGAGCAAAAATGTGAGAGACAGAGGGAAATAAGAGAAGTGTTTGGAGAACTGAAAACAAACATGTGGGGAAGAATCTGACCTGAGGAAAGGTTTGCACCAAGCCAGCATTAACAGATGGCTTCTTAATAATGTGCCTGCGCTGACCCAAGTGGAATAAGGAAATGGCTTTATCAGATGTAAAAGTCTCCCTTAATTGCACAAGGAAATAAGTTTAGTGTGCTAGAGTCTATATGGAGGTGTTCAATAAAACAAGAAATCAATAGGAAAAATGGATAGTCTTTATATTGAATGTGAAATTATTTTGGGTGAATTCTTTAGAAGAAATTGAAAGAAAGCATTTATCAATGATCAGTAGAGTTGATGAAAAAGTGAACATTTTGATTTCTATTTCTTGCAGAAAGTAAGAGGTCAAATCTTTTTCTCTTCGCAAGGAATCTAGTACCAGGGTTAATTCTGTGTTTTGGCTGTGCTGTTGTAACTGTGCTTGTGGGACTGGAGGAATTTTATTCTGTTCTGAGCATTCTAAACCATTTGGCCAGGTTTAACTTTGAGTGGGTTTGGGGGATAGAATGAGGAAAATGGGCTTAAGCGAAAGAATTGAGTAACTGCTATGGAAGAAGAACCATCGTCTGTTGTGGCAGGAATTTTATTGCTCCTCTGTGGTGGGAACACAATGAGGGCCACAGCAGCCGGGGGGCAGGTTTGCAAGGCAAGACTCTGCTACTTGAGCAGAAATTCTTATGACATTTATTTGAAAGCATACAGGCTAGTAAAAGCTGATCGTGCGACAATGGTATGAGGAAGAGTCCGAAGGGTAGGATAGGAATGGGGGACGAAGTTTTACGAGGAACAGAGCAGGGGACATTAAGACCATTCAGCAAGAGATATTGGTGTCGGCAAAGCATGATGTTATCACAGGAAGAATTATCCCAGGATCACCACAGAGACAGTCACATAATCAGGTCACAGAGACCTAGGCATCCCCAGGCCTGCCTTGTGATATGGGCTATATTACATAGGTAGCCATGAAATGTTCGAGTGTGATTTGCAGATAGCAAATAGGTCACAGTTGCTGACAAATGGCTAGCTAGTAGTCAGCTCATAGGAACCCACAATAGTCATTTGTGTGTGTGCTCTATCACTTCGCTGGCTCTGTCACTTTTCTGAGGGAAAGAATACTGCTGAGGTGTGTGTGTATAAGAAAGTAGGGGGAGGGAGGGAGAGAGGATTCACCAGAGATAGAGTGGAGAGCAGGAAAATCAAATCTACTGAGATATACTGCTGAGGGGAGCAACGGGTGAGTCAGGAAAGGTCTGCTGTGCCATTTGTGGTTTAACTCCCTGGCTGGGAATCAAACTCAGGTCATAATGGTAACAGCACTGGAATTTAACCCCTAGGCCACCAGGAATCGATAGTCTTATCCCACAGTTATTATATGTGGTGAGGAAACTGAGGCATTGTGCTAATTAAATTATTAAAAACACATACCCAGTTAGTAACAGAATTGGGCTGGATCCTAAGTTTAATACTGCCTACCACAGCACAGCACTCATTACTTATAGATGGGAATAACATTGTGGATAAAGTCATGAGAGTTGCAGATGGGCATTGCATCTAAAGAAGATCTGGAAACTTTGTCTTCTGCCTTTCAAATGCTGTAAGAGTTGTTTTTGTGCTGAAAATAAACTAGGAAAAAACAAAAACAAAAACATGGGTTTGGAACATTGGAAAACAGGTTCTACAGCACTAATCCTGAGGGAGACAAAAAAGGGTGAACCTTACTCTTGCCCCAATATATTGCCTCCACGAACTTTCCAGGCTGCTTGACAGGGCCGATAGAAATTGCACAGTTGTCTCACTGAGTAGAGGAAGCAGAGCTAAGGTGGCTAGAATCTATGAGGTAGGGTACCGAGAAGAAGCTAAAGAGAAAGCCTCATATTTAGAGCAAGGGCCTTATGAGCCTTTCACTGAGTACAGGTTTGTGATGTATAGGAGATAACTCATTTAGAGCTAAGAGGGAACCCCCTGAAAAGCAGGAAATTGCACAATGTCTCAAATTCACACAAGACTGGGAATAGTTTTTTCCTAAAAGTCAGAGTGGAGATATTTTATAATACACAGGATATTTGGTTGGAGTTTGACATTAAGGACATTAATGGCTAATTATGGGGCTAACGTAGCACCAGGATATGGCTCACCATAGCAAAGCTTAAGAGGAAACCTATAAAGAATCAAACTAAAAGTAATTTAGCTGCATGCAAGAACAAAATCCAACACTCTTTACAAAACTACAACAAAATCCAACATTCAACGGTAGAAAATATATGTCTGGCATCAGTCAAAAATTACCAATCATGAAAATAAAACACCAAAATGATAGAATTCATTGACAAGAACTATAAAACAAATACAGATCTGACAAACTTAAAAGTGAAAAGAAATGCCTGGCACAATAAGGAGAGAAATGGAAATATAAAAGAGACTAAAGTGGGACTTCTAGAAATAGAAAAAAAGAAAACCATATTAAATGGAATAAACAGATTAGACACTACAGAAGAAAAGACTAGTAAACTTGAAGACATATAAAGGAATAAGTCACACTTCCCATTCTTTTAGTTTTCTAGTATTTTCATAGTTTTATGTAACTTGATTATATCGCTACTTTTAGGTTTTTCCATTTTTTATATCTAGTCATTCCATATTATGGAAAGTGAAAATTTAGTTCTGTTTTGCTCACTAATCCTCCTTCCCAATATACTCTTATATAAATACATGTATTTTATATGCACATGCCTCTTCCCAGAATGATTGATCTCACTGTAGACAGGGAGTTATTTTTCAGTATTATATGTGCCCATCTTTTTCACCACTGTACTACATTCTTGTACAATATTAAAAAATAATAATAATTTCATGGAGCTAATTCATACTTTGTTTCTTATTTGCTTACTTTATATGTCTATACATATTTATATTACCGCCCAAATTCTTTAACAAAAAATCTGTGAATATTCAAAACATCACATTTTCTTTTGGTTTCATTCTGTTCTTGAAGACATACTTGTTAAAGACGCTTCTGACCTTTTTTGCAACCACTTTCAAGTGGTTTTGTAGCAGTCATCCTGTGTCTACCTCCAAAGGAATTTTCTTCAGCCCTCTCATCTTTTGAACCTCAGTTCTTCACTTTCTCAATTTCCATTTTCTGGTGAGACATATCCTCTATAACTTCTTGAGAAGGGATGCACAAGAGATAAAAATTTTGAGACTTTGCATGGCAACGCACTGTCATGAGCCCCTCACCCACAAAGATGTCCGTCTCTTAATCCCTGTAACTCATATAAGTTGTGTTAACTTTCTTGTCAAAGGGGACTTTACAGAAGTCATCAATAGTCTCAAGATGGGAAGATTTTCCTGGATTACAGGGTGAATTTAATGCAATCATGAGGGTTCTTACGAGAGGAGAGTGGGGAGGAGGGTCAAAGTCAGAGAGATTTGAGGATGTTATGCTGCTGGTTTTGCAGATAGGGAAGATGTTATGCTGCTGGTTTTGCAGATAGGGAAGATGTTATGCTGCTGGTTTTGCAGATAGGGAAATCATGAGCCAAAGAATGTAGGCAGCCTCCATAATCTGGAAAAACCAAGAAAGTGGTTCTTCCTTAGGACTCCTAGAAGAAAACATGGTTCAGCTGAGAAACTGATTTAAGCCCAGTGAAACCCATTTCAGACTCTTGACTACCCAAGCTATAAGCAACACCTTTTTATAGTCCCCTCTCTGAATGAATGATAATCTGGTTTGGTCAGATTCCAGGTAGAAAATCATTTCTCCCCACATTACTAATATTTCTGGTTCCCAATGATACCATTCTGTTTTCTGTTTCCTCTTATTTTCTTCCAGTATTCTTTAGAATTTTTCTTCCTCCCCTTTTTTCTTTTTTGGAAAGTCCTGCTAGGCATTGGACCATGTCTTAGATCCATTGTTTAGTTTTTTATTTTTCCTAGCAGTTTTGTTCTGCTTTTTAGAAAATTTCTTCAACTTCATCTACCACTTTGATTGAATATGTAATTTCTTTTATTTTTTAATTTTCAAGAGCAATTTCTTATTCTCTAATTATAATGATCTATACTTGTTTGATGAATGCATTATCTTATCTTCCTGAACCTATCAATTTTTCTTCTGTTTGTAAGACTTTATGTTTTCTTTTGTTACTTGATTTTGTTTCTTTTAAATTTCCTTTTTCTTTTCAAATTTGTCTTTCATGTTAGAAACTTTCCTCAAATGTCCGGCAGTCCTGGGTTATCCATGCACATTTATGGCACTCAAATTCTGATCAGAAACTCTTTAAAGAGAGGATGTTTACTGTGTAGGGAGCCTCACTGTTTTGTCTAACATACTGGCCGATTACATGGGTGTGGCTTATTCTTTTCTCTCAGGTAAGTTGTTTTCTTCAGAAAGAAATGCTCTGATTTCCTGCTCGATAGCTGAGTAAAACAGGAAAGAATGGGACTTTCTAATGAGTAAGCATGCTGCCACCCCATTTACAGTTCTGACAACACACTCCACTGTCCCTGCTGCCCCTGAGTCAGAGATTTGGCTTGCTTCTCCTGTGAGTAAATCCTTGGGGTCCTGCACAGGCCTGACTATCTGATCATTGCATTTTCTGTAGGTTGGTAAGAATTGGTTCAGCCATTTTGTTGATCTGTATTGTCATTTTTAATCATTTGCGATATTAACACTAGATTGGCTTTGGGAGTAAAATCAACATGTTCCTTAGGGTTGAGTGCTGGGTTAATTACTTTGCATTCAGTGTAGGCCCACTGAAGACTTCATCTTACCCCCAAGCTTCCATAGTAGGTTTATCTGCCACATTTGTTTCGTTTTAGCTTTTAGTGTTATGTTATGAGGATGTAGACACAACCAGGGAAGGGAGCACGTGGCAGAAATACCTTCCCCAAGAACACACCTGAACACTCCCAGTGAGTCTCTGGGAATAATTAGGGCTTTACTATCAAGGAAGTTACAAAATCTAATTTTGAAATCTAACTTGTCTTTGGAAGCAACTGTTATCAGGGATCAGTTGATTTATCAGAAAACAGTTTGTTTTCATTCTTTTCCTAGTAGTAGAAAATAGAAAAAGGTTAATTTTTTTCTCTATTTTTCTTTTGGATTTGCATTTAACTTGCAGCTCTCTGAGAACATAGAGGTTCTTGGTTTGAGTTGATATTAACAGCAGAATCTATTCTGTTACCTATGACAGGCATATGTGTATCACATATAGACAAAAGACATAGTTGACTACTTGATTTACATGATCAGTTCCCCTTCAAGAATTTGAAAGCCCATTTATTTAACAAGGTGTCTTTAATAATGACTAAGGTATATTGAGTGCTATTTGTTAGGCACAGGTTAAATGACTTATTTATCTTATTTAATTCTAATAATTACTCTTAGAGGTAGGATACTGTTGTTATTGCCAGTTTAGAGACAAAGGATGCACTGAGGTTTATAGTTATGCCTGAGGCCTCATGATTAGTGCTTACAAGTGCTATCAGATTTATGATGAACATCTCCTGAATCCAATGTGCAGGTTGTCCAAGGTCAAGTGGGTCTGACCTTTGGTTGTTTATTTGGAAGACCACTTTCAGGTGTGCTGTTGTATAGTTTCACACCTATAGGTGCAATATGTAAGGTTTGTCCCTTCTGCAGATATTCAAGTGCCTGAACTTATAGGATTCCATCACACATTAAAGGGTGGAGGGTATTGAGGCTCCCAGATGGGAGTAGGGTACTTATTTTAAACCACATGTTTGTGGCTTCAGAACTTAAGATTTCAACATTGGATACTGATGCACATTACCAGATTTCTGACAGTGTTTCTCTGGGTTGGAAGAAAGGTAGATTTTAGGTTATATTGAGCTTTTCATTTAGAACTCATTTAGGTTATATTGAGCTTTTCATTTAGAATTTTTCATTTAGAACTGCTCTGTTGTGGTGCTTTATGATTTTAGAATCGCGTATTAGAAGGGACTGTAATGGTCATGAAGCACAACCTCCTGTCTGAAGTTTGCAATCCCAGCCGACGCTCAGCCCTTCTGCCCCCAGAAGCAGAGAATTCGCCCTGTCCCATCCTTCTCTTGCTCTCCTAGTTGGTACCCGAGGAGTACTCTTCCTTACTGCTGAGGCCATGTGATCCCTTCTGTTTTAGTCCACCTAGGGTTTTTCTTACTAGTTATTATAAGACCAGACTAAACGAATGGTGCACTAAGTGGCTATGTGAAACAATATTTGAAATGTTTTAAAGTCCCTATTAGTCTAAGGTGACCAGTTCAAATTGACTTTATCTTTGAGCAGGCCTGAGCATGCTGGTTTCTGCTGTGTATCATCCTGAGGTCTCCTCATTTTAGCAGGTCTCTCTCAGGTTAGCAGAAGTGCCGGTTTTAGTCCTTAAAGACTGATACCAGTTATAGGGTTGAGAAAGTCTGTGACTGACACTAAGATAAACATAAATCCCCAGAGGGGTATTACATTTGTATAAATTTCCAAGCAGATACAAAAGAAGTCAGAATAGCATAATAAATCTTATTGTACTCGCTTTAACCATTGCAACAGATGCCCCACCTTGTTTTAAAGTCATTCCTGGACATATAGTCCTAAGAAGTCTTGAAGCCATTCCAAAGGAGGAACTCTTTGCTCTGGAACCCTAACTTGGAAGGATGTCCAGTTTTTCTACCCCTCTCACTTTCTTTCTCTTTTCCAGGGCCCAGTCATATATGCACAGTTAGAACACTCCAGTGGACACCACAGTGACAGGATTAACAAGTCAGAGTCTGTGGTGTATGCGGACATCCGGAAAAATTAAGAGGAGACTCAGATCGTGTGCTAAGCAAGAAACAAACCCCAACTGGACTCATGCAGAAACGTAGCCCTAACCACATGTGACCTTGGAAACCTGGGCACGGACAAGCACATGTTTATTTTTAGAGGGAAGAAAAACTGTGTATAAGGGATATGTATAAATATTCTATTTAATCTTCTGATGTGAGGAGCCAATGTTGCATGATGGAAAGATGGTATGATTCTACTCACCTATATGTAAATTGTCTTGCTGATGTATGCTTTATTTCAGGGTCATTGACAATTGGGAAAATTCAGAAACCTTTCTCTCACCATTGTTTAGATATGGTTTGCCTTAATGGAGATGGTAGCAAACCCTTTCGTACTCCGGTGGACATGGCCTTTTTATCTAAGGGCTTAACCAGTCGTAGCGTTTATCATAGTTGGAGAATGGAGACACAATGATGGAAGCTGTTCCGTATTAGATTAACCCAGTGTCAGCACTGTTTGGCTGTAGTTTTTGGAAAGCACCTATTCACTATGCCACTTGAAGACAGTTGGAAAGGTCATGTTGTTTTCGCTCTAAAACACAGGGCAGGTTTTAACTTTATCTGCTGTGTAGGCTTACTTTAACCCTTTAAGTATATCAATTTGTGGATTCAACACAGCAAGATTAGCAAAGGATAAATATGAGAGCTTCCTTCCTCCTCAGTACCTTGAGATCAACACCAGAGGGAGAATAAATGCGTGTAGAAGAACCAGGCCTTGCTGGAGAGTAACAGTTGTGTTGTTTGCTGGAATCCCTCCTGTAGCAAGTGTTCCCAGGCAGCCAAAGGAGAAGAGTTACCTTTCCTCCTACTAGGCACAAGCGGGACAGTTAGATTGCCAGTCTTTCTGGAGAATTTTCTTCTTTACAAAGCTCCAGCGAAGCTTCTAGCAAGACGCAGCATCTCCTGGCTCTGGAGCTGCTCCCGAGACCTTTGAGGATAAGGCTGGTTGAGGGTGTTTTTAAGCAAGTAGGGCTAGTACTTCTACTTTGGGAATCTTTTTTTCTGTTCCTGGCTGGTGGTAGTTGCTGTTTTTAAAAAATCCTCCAAGGCCCACTAGTAGCATTGATAAACAATGAAATGCAAACATGTAATTTGAGTATCCTGCCTAACAGTTCATTTCCTCCCATTGACTATCCCACCCTTCCATCCCCATCCAGCCTCAACTGTAGGAGCTTTTATTTTTTACTGAAAATGAAATGCATGATGAAGATCATTAAATATTTATTTATATTGTCACACACACACACACCCTTTTCTGGGTGATTTGTTTCGAAAGTAAGTTTTTGCCACTAGGGAAAGAGTACAGACTAGCTGGTCACAGAAGCTGTTTGGGTAAGTGGTAATGTTAGTTTTCCTCCCATTTAGTTTGATGTCCGCCATGAGCTCCTTCCTTTTCCTTCCTGTCTTCTGTCATCTGTGAGGGCGTTCGAAAGGTGAGTTCTAGACAATTCCTAATGGAAATTAAAGGAGGGTTTAGATCTGAAGTTGTGCCATGTGAACTTCTAAACTAACTTGGTCCCCCTTAAGCAGCCTCTGATTTTCTGAGGAACTATTTGTTATTTCTATCAGGTCCCGGTGACATTCCATTTCTAGTAAGAGGCAGGGAACAGGTTTCATCACCTCCCCCACTAGCTGCCTTCTGAAGGTGAGGTCTGGTCTGTGTTCAGTGAGGAGTGGAGGAAAAGACTGCAACTCTGCTGCCTTCGAACTCCCTCACAGATGACAGAAGACAGGAAGGAAAAGGAAGGAGCTCATGGCGGACATCAAACTAAATGGGAGGAAAACTAACTCTTGGGTGTTCAGAGGCCCGCCGCAGCCTCAGCCAGCATTTCTGCAAAGTGGCTGGCCTTACCTCCTCACACCTCTCAGTGCTCACTAGAAAAACATAGGAGCCTTTAGAATTCTCTTGTGTATGTTGGGGAGCGGGAGGGGAGTAGGATGTGGGCTTGTCCCTGTACTTCTTTAATGCCAAGATTGCAGCTCTCTTGGTAAGCTTTTGATACAGTGACAGTTGTACAGCTGGCCAAGACTGTTTTAAGGTAGAAAGACTGTTTTTAAGGTATATTTATATATTTGTCATGTTTCTATATAGTCACTTTTCACAGAAAAAAGGGACACCTTCTCCTTTTTCAAGAGGTCCCCTGAATGAACTCTATGCTCCCAATACTCCTGATTACAGGAACCCTCATTTCACCTTTGTGGGCAAGGATTTTGTGTTCATGCCACCCAGGGTACCAGCCAGCACTCCTACTAATGATGCCTGTGAGCCTCCCCTGACTTGTGTGTCTGATGACAGCACCACCTCCCCACCCACCCAGACAGCTCACACCTTGCCAACATTTAGCATCTGTTGAAGCGTCACCCCGCCTCACCAAGCTTCCCTGCCAGGCAGCGGCAGTCACTGTTGGCATTGCCTTGGCTCTGGACTGGCTTGTCCAGAAGAAATCACTTACACTTGCAAGGAGAATCTCAGGGTCAGGGCACCTCCCAACCCCCTCAAGCCATCTCCTTTGGCGTCTTTGGCCCTTTCTCCTGCGTCCCAGTGTCCTGCACCTGGCCACACACAGCAGCAGTGGGGACTACTGCCACTGCCCTTTCCATGTTTTCTCAGCAGAATGACCTTTGTAATGACAAGTGGTTTTGTAAGGGGACACCTAAAAGGGATTACTTAGAGATGAAAATTCCAAACTATCTGTAGTTTTTGGTGGAAATGTATGCAGTTGGGTAAAAATCATTACATCCATTTTTTTAATTGTATTTTTGTGTATTTTTAATACATCTTTTCTAATTACTGAATTGTGTTGTGTGCTCATTTTCAATCAAGTAGAAAAAGTGATAAAAGCCTTTTCTTGCTTCCCACTCTGCCACACTTGCCTTCTTAGTATTCTGGGACACCATGCACGTGCCTGCTTCCAGTCCTGGGACATGCATATATTTGTATGGTTTCTCTCTCACTCCATTGAGTCACTCTTAGCTCTCCCTAAACTTTAACCCTGCTTTGTTTTTCTCCCTCAAATTAAATATCACTTGTCTATTTTCTGTACTAGGACATAGAAACCATTTTGCTGTTTTGTTCAGGTCTTCTTTACATTCCAGGTGATCTCCTTACATACATCTCTTTCCTTAGTACATAGAGTATAACTGGATGGGTTCAATGGATGGGTGGGTGGATGGGTGGATGGATGGATGGACAGACAGATGGGTGGGTGGGCGGATGGATGGATGGACAGACGGACGGGTGGATGAATGGGTGGGTGGGTGGGTGGATAAAGCAGATGGATTTATCTATTCAGCAAGTCTTTATTGAGAACAATCCTTGCCAGGCACTGTGCTCTGCACAAAGAAGCAAAATAAACGAAAAGCTCAAGAAGCTTCCCTCAGAGCGGGGTTGAGATACAATGATATAATAGTAATACTAGCTACTGAATAGGTGTAATAATAGCTACTAACTAGGTGCTGTGGGCCAGGCACTTTGTGTTTCTTACTTTATAGACTACTATGAGTTAACACTAATTATACTAATCTTAATCCCACGTTTAGAAAGACATTATCAGGCTTAGCTTATATAACTTGCCAAGGTCACTGAACTCATAAGATCCAGAGAGGCAAGACTGTGACTGATGCTGTGTGATCAAAGCCTTGTTCCAGCTACTGCCCTGTGGTCTCACCAAAGGGAAATGAACTCTTCCGTATTCTGGTAAAGAGACTGTGTGCCTGAAGTGCCGTTTTCTCCTGGTCCTTTGGGAGCCCATGGGGATAAGTGCAGGAGATAGTAGTTATGTGGGTGTCAGACACACAGATGCTTAGGAGCTTTAACTTCAGTTTGGAAGACAATATGGTGACTGACTCTTTTGAGGGCTATGTTACAAGTAATATGTTGCTAATATAGCCTTGAAGTTTTATTAAAAATTCACATAGACTCAAAAGCCTCTGGCTTGAAGGAGTTAGAGCTGGAGGGGGTGGCCTGTGGTAGTGAATCTCATGTGGACTACATCCATCATCAGTGATGTGGCAAAAAGAACAGAAATGCTCCCCCACCCCACAAGGCAGAAGCCATGGGATCTGAAGGATTTTTGTCATCTCTATGGTTCCACCAAATTAAACTACATATCAGGGAGTTTCCTCTTCTGGCTGGGACTCTGGTTTCTAAACTGCACAGGGAACAAGCCAACCAAACACACCCTGCCTAATGGTTTGACTTGAGCTCTTTTGACCTTGAAACAGTGCCAAAGAAATAATGCATTCAATGGAAACCATACGGTGCATTCTGTTTTTCACTCTGCACAGCAGTCCACTAATTACTAGAGATGGTCAACACCTTGTTAGGAAGTAGTGCTTGTGTTAGGTGTGTTGCTCAACTATTTGCTAATGTGTTTTGAGCATGTTTACAATAGATTGGCTAAGCTATGAAGTTTGCAAGGGGAGGTATACTAAGTGCATTTTTTATATTTTCTCTCTTTTTTTAAGATTTATTTATTTATGCATACAGATCTGGAGTACAGGCCAGAGGTGTTGGGGGATGAGAGGTTTCACCAGACAGAGCAGGGAGCAAAACAGGCAGATTGATGGAGTACACTGCTGAGGGGAGCAGCAGGTGAGACTGGAGAGGTCTGCTGCGCCATGTGGGTCACCTCCCTGGCCAGGGATCAAACCTGTATTGAAGTGGCTGCAGCTAGCTTTGTAGTGCTGTGCTTTAGCCCGTTGCATCACCAGGGAGGGCCTGATATTTTCAACTTATAATAAATTTATCAGGATGTAAAGCCGTTGTAAAGTGGGTAGGTGTGAGTTATATTTGAGCGCAGCTTCATCCCCAAGTAAGCTGACCGAACAGTGTTTTAGAGAAAATCTCAGCTACTCTCCTGGCTCCCTCTCTGACCCCACTGTCTGGGTAATTCTAGTGCTCACTGGATTTGAGAACCCAATATCTTAAACCCCCAGCCTCCATGGAAGCTGAGAAAGCACTCAGAGGAGAATACTCTTTATGGCACTGGTGGAAGTAGTAAGGTTAGGGAGTGACCACCTGCTTTTAAGGACCACACACTCCCCCACCTCACTTACATTCTCAGTTTTTCATTATGAAGACTTTCACACATGAAGAGAGAATAATAAAATCAACTGCCTCCATCATTTTTTTCTGTTCCCTCTTTCGAAATTTTAAGAAACAAATCCCAAAGTGATGGCAGTTCACCCCTCCATTCTTGTGCATCATTTAAAAATAAGGGCACTTCTGGGCCCTGCCTGATGGCACAGCAGGTTAAAGCACAGCACTAAGAAGCTAAAGCCACTTCAACATGAGTTTGATCTCCAAACCAGAGGTGACCCACATGGCTGGCAGACCTCTCCTGACCTGCCTGCTGCTCCCCTCATCATTGTACTTCATCAATCTGCCTGTTCTGCTCCCCACTCTGTCTCTGGTGAGACCTCTCACCACCCCTGTTCTGGCCTGTACCTCAGTTCTGTATGCATAAATAAATAAATCTTAAAAAAAAATTAAGGGCACTTCTAAAGACTATATAACAATGAAAACAGTAAAACAAAAGTAAAAACCTCCTAAATCAAAGAATTTATACTCAAATTTCCCCTTATCTCTGAAGTAACATTTTATAAGTTATTTGTTCAAATCAGGATCCAAGCATGGTTCTAATAAAGATGTCCTGCCTGTTTTAAAAGCAAAAATGGCATCGTTACTCTCGGTAGTTTGCTTTCTTCCCTCAGCACTCCGCCTGAGAAACTCCCATGTGAGCAGCGAAAGAACTAGATCATTAGCCACTAACACCTACAGAGCCCTCTCTTAAATAGGTGAGCTATACTGTTTTTAAGTAATTTCTGAAATTAGGTTGTTTTCAGTTGTCTAGGTTTTTGCTCATCACAGGGGGTGCTATCTTTGTCCTTTGTAGGAACCGAGGCAGCGTCAGTGAACACAAATGCAGCCAAAAGGATAAGAATTGCCCCAAGACCTGTTTGAACAAGGGGACTGAATCATGGATTGGTGAGAACTGTCCAAACAATTTGACCATAAGAAGTCATTCTAGATAAAGAGTGTTAAGTAGGTCCCAACTAACAAATATCTCACAATTTCTTGGAGAAGGCCAAGAGCCTGCAGCATAGTTGAGCATAACCTGTTTTCACCTCCCTAGGAGTAGCCACCCCAGATGCCTTGATGATGTTCTCCTCCACCCTGCTTCCCGGACTTACCCTCTAGCCATCTTCCCTTCCTCCCGGCACTGGCTCCCTCATGCATGAGTCTAATAAGCCTTTCCTGTTTCAGCTACACCTAGTGCTCTCTTACGAATTCTTCTCCTAGAGAGCAAAAGAAAACATCTTTGGGTGTTAGGCCTATGAACAAAACTAAAGTCAAATCATTTGCAGCCATGGAAAAATCTGGTGCAACAAGGTCTCCAGGCCCCTTGGAAATGATAGTAGACCTTAGCTCACCTTCCTCCTCACCTCCTTCCTGAAGCCCTCAGGGGCTAGCAGTAAACTACAGCTCTTAAGTTTGAGTCTTGGACTGTGAGAAAATGCAACTGAGGGCTGAGTGCAGGAGGACTGTTTGCAAGGAAGGAAACACAGATCTTTCCAGCTCAGGGCCCCAGGGGAACTGCTGCTTCCAACTTCTACTTCCTCCTACAAATAGGATGTTTGACTATTGTCCATTCTTGGCTCAGGGTTTAGACTTGAATGTTGGTGCATTTCTTCACTGAGGGCCTTGCATTGGCCTTTAGTGTTTCAGTATATAAGAAAGGGATGAGTTGTTTTTTTCTTTTCAAATCCAACATTTGGGAAGAGGAAGTCTGGCAGGTTGAATATGCTTAAATTGGCTTTGGGGTCCTGCCCTCCATGTTACTGTTTGCCCACTGGAGCATTAATACCTGAGCATTAAGTACTATACACTGCTGCTCTGAGGGAGAAGAGAGAACCAAACTGAGGCCAGCTTGCTGAAGAAGGCCTGAGCTTTTCCTCCAGATAGGGACCCAGGGCACACTGCTTTTTCAATCTAGACTCACTCTTGCTTCTTTCTCTGGTTTTCAAGTATTGTTTCTCTCTCTCTCTCTTTATTATAACATTTCTTTTAATTAGGTAAAGGAACATAACATTTACATTTTAGGGAATTACCTTGAATGTACAGCAAACCTAGAAGAATGCAGAGTATTTTGTAAAGCCCTCTCCTTGCTCCCTCAGTCCTAACAGAACCCCAGGATTTGTTTACATGCATCCAGACATTCTTAAAAGAGAAAAGCTCTGATCCTTTTTGCATGTAAGACATTCCTGATGGAAGTTGTTCTGGTGCAAGGGTAGTTTTTGAAAAGCTTGCACAAGGATCTGGGTTCCAAAGAATGTGAAACATCTGCACGGGCATACACGGGAACCAGCAGCGAGCAGGAACCCCCCTACCAGTGCCCTTTAGCCAAGACAGCTGAACCCAGCCCCGGGGTTAACGTGAAAGGGTATGCAACAGCTTTACATCCAAGGAAAGGCGCACACGCTGCCCAGGGAGCCATGTGAGTTCCTCTGATACAGGACACCTCAGGACACGCTGGCCTCTCAGAGGAGACGCAGCTAATGAGTTCATGTTGACTAATGGAGGCTGAGCCAGAGAAGAACAAAAGCCCAAGGGAGAGAAGGAAAGTAAACTTAGGAGGAGAGCTAACACTTGGCTAGAAATATCTGGCTTCTGTCCATGGCCTCTCTAAATAATACTCCTGAGAAAGTGATAGATTTGGGTCCCTATTATAAATTGTACGTCTGTTTACATTCATTTCAGACTTTTCGATGACTCTTTCTCCCTGCAT